AACATATATATATATTATATATATATATATATATATATAGAGAGAGAGAGAGAGAGAGCTGTCTGTTTCCCAGCCAGCGAGTCGTCTTCCTGGGGACCGCTATTGATTCAGCCCATATGCGGGCATGGGTTACGCCGGAACGTTCCCTGACAATTCAGTGGCTAGTGATGTCATTCAAACTCAGGACTTCACATCCCCTCAGAGTTTTTTCAGATGATGCTCGGACTTGTGTCAGTCGCTTTTTCTGTGATTCCTCTGGGCCTGCTTCACATGTGGCCCCTCCAATATTGGCTCAAAGCCCATGTACCGTCCCACTCTTGGCGCCTATTTTTATCTCAGGGTAACCCACCGCTGCATCAGAGCTATGGCCCCTTGGAAAACTTCTCGCCTGTTTCAGTCAGGCGTCCAGTTGGAACTGACCTCCAGAAGGAAAGTGGAACTCGGTTTGGGGAGCACTGTACGAGGACAAACTGGAGTTTGGCTCCTGGTCAAACCTGGAGCAACGTTTGTGTTTGGAGGTTATCATTTTGGAGGTTACAGCCCCGTCTACGAGACGCCTCTATGCCCTTAACTGGTCAGTCTTTTCTGACTGGTGTGCAGCAAAGAACAAAGACCCATCCTCCTGTGACATGTCATCCGTGTTAACCTTTCTGCAAGAGCTGTTGGATTAGGGGTGCACCCCTTCCACGCTCAAAGTATATGTGGCAGCCATTGTGGTGAATCATGCTCTCATGGCTGACCAGTCAGTCGACAAAAAACGACCTTGTCGTTAAGTTTCTGAAGGGAGCTCGGAGACTGAATCGTCCTCATACTGTGCTGACCTGGGACTTTTCTGTAGTCCTCAGGGCCCTACGGGGCCCTTCCTTTGAGACGCTCCAGTCGGCTGACTTGCGGCACCTGTAGCTCAAGACCGCCCTTTTGGAATTATCATCGGTAAAGCGAGTAGGTGACCTGCAAGCACTGTCAATCAGTGCTTCATGCCTTGAGTTTGGGCCAAATGACTGTAAAGTTGTCCTCAAACCAAGACACGGCTATGTGCCTAAGGCTTTTTAGGAGCCCTCATTACAGGCGCTCTGGGGTTGGGCTTGCAGAGCGGCTTAGTTTTGCATTTGCTTATAGCACGGCGCTATTGGATGCGTTCCCCATAAGCGTGTAAACGCAACGGGAGAGACTATTTGATAGGGAATGCTCTGGCTACTAGCATAACCTCGGTTCCCTGAGATAAGTGAACAAGCGTTGCATAAGCTGCTGTGCTGTAAGACTGTATGCGAGTTGATGGCTGTCACTGACAGTCGAAAGATTCTGACGAATGGCGCTCTGAGCTGACTTATATCAGTCGGCACCTCCCCTTTTGGCGCCATTTGTTCGTGCAGTTATATGAATGTCAACAAATCAGGCTTCAGTATCAGAGTAAACAGGAATTTGCCCGTAAGCGTGTTAAACGCAACACTCGTTCCATTATCTCAGGGAACCGAGGTTACGTTACTAACCGGAACGATCTGTCACAAAAAAAAAGGCAAAACTTTATCGTGAAACAAGTATTTGTTTGGGGTTATTACTTAAGGTGAAGTTTGAACTAGGACACAACAATAGCTTGGGAAATAACCTACTGCACATTTGCACAAAAAAAGGAAACTGCATTGACTGTTGCTGACATTCCCAGTTTTATTAATATGCATTAATTTAAATTAGTTCACAGGTTAAATCATCCCTTCAATGATGCCAAAAATTAACACTTAGATTGATTATTTTTGGATTCTCTCAAAACTAAGGAGGAAGCTTATTAGCAAAGCTAATTATAGATAATTAAGAAGAATGAATGGCAGAAGAACACATAAAATTTGTGATATATTTAATAATATGCAAGTTTTACTTTGTAACAATTGCACAGGGACTCATTATAAAACCTGTTTTCAAGTATGCTCACAAAATCAAGCTATCGAAAGTTCAAACATATTTTAAAGATGAAACCCATCAAGGACGCATTAAACAACATGATGACATTATGACTACTGCAGAAAGATATGCGCATGCAGGTACAATTTTTACGCTAGAAGTAGACAGAGAGAGAAAAATAATAAGAATGGAGAAATAAGAGGTACCTTCAATCTTCTGCAGGGCTGTCAGACAGGCTTCCTGGCTAGCGAACTCAAATGGGTTGTTGCATGTTCGTACACTTTCACATTCACACTTCCCATCAATTATGTTACAGCCCGTAACCAGGTTTTCATTGCATGGCTCAAAGCCCAAGAGCTGGTCGTCATCCCAGTTTTCATCTGAGCGAAAATGAAAGAGACACATATCAATGAAGACGCCACAGAAACAGAAATTCATAATAATAAATTACCAGATCAAACACAGTAACCAGATTTTAAAATTCAGAATCATCCCGATACATTTTCACAGTATCATTAAAACTGCGGGTTACTGAATGCTAAAGAGGAGCACATGGACAATTACATGTGCTTTTGAGGTTCAAGGGGAATCGTAGAACTCGGAAATAAGAGAGAAATGTAGTCTTGTTATAAAGGATTATGCAGTTCCTATGTTCCTAGCCTCTCACGACTTACACGATAGATAAATGGTGGCAGAGAGCAGCACATTTTCAAAATAAGAATGACCCCGACCCTAAAGATGCTTCTATCTGCCAGCAACATTATGAAGTCTTATTTGCAGTGCAAACACACATTGCTGATACAAGCACTGGTATTTCAGCCCACTGTGTGTTCACCTTATCGGCGCACACACATGTTTGTGTGCTTAGGATGGATGAATACACTCAAGATGGGTGCATACCAGGGCTAGCTGATATATTGAATATTTATAAAAAAAATTATAATCATTTAATAAAACTATATATACAGTGGGTACGGAAAGTATTCAGACCCCCTTAAATTTTTCACTCTTTGTTATATTGCAGCCATTTGCTAAAATCATATATTAGAATGATTTCTGAAGGATCATCTGACACTGAAGACTGGAGTAATGGCTGTAAGGAATAAATTATATTTTAAAGTGTAATATAAAATATAATATAATATTTATATAATATATTATTATATATTATAATGTATAATATTTTAAATATTATTTATTTAATTATCTATATATATAAACAATTTTAAATATTTAAATGTGATAAATAATTTAAATTAATACTTATACATAAAAAACACTATGCTAATTATTTTATTACATTTCTTAAGGCCATTAATTTTCTATGCCAGACCTCAGTAACATAAATGACAACTGAGTTGCATTTCAATGAATCAGTCCAAAACACTGATTTATTTCCATATACATCCACCACCCCTAGTGCATACTAAGCACCAGCGTATGCATGCAGATGCATTTGCATCTGCATGCATGTAATTTGTGTCTTTTGGTCTCTGAGGAATGCTGCCTGCTTGCCAATAAATAACGGGCCTTGCGCATCTATGAGCAATTTGGCTGTTGAGTCAGAACCGTTTCTGCAGAAACCTGCCTCGTACTGCAGAGCAACCTACAATTTGATTTAGCAAAAATGAGACTACATAATCTACAAAATGACTTTGTTTTGAATCCATAACTTCTCAGCCCCTGGGTGTGTCACTTTAAATACACTGTGGATAAACAAGTCATGGAAAAACACTCCTCTCACTCACCCCGTGTCTGTTTGTTGTAGGGTCAGTCGTGTTTAGCTACTGCTGCATAGCTGCACACTTGTGACTTAGTGTTTTGGTCATCTGGATATGATGGGTGTGATTACAGCTGTACGGCACAACACCCATACCATGGGCTGAAAGAACACAAGCCTATCACTATGCCTGTCTATAGGGGACTGTGAGTATGTGCTAGCTTGTGATCTCCTAACAATCAAGGACTGGAAGCTGATGTTCCAAAGCCCCTGCGCTTGTTGTTTTCACCAAAGCCACAGGGGTGAAGTCCCCAAATAGCTGCTGTCACAGCCCCTGGGTGTGTCACTTTAAATACACTGTGGATAAACAAGTCATGGAAAAACACTCCTCTCACTCACCCCGTGTCTGTTTGTTGTAGGGTCAGTCGTGTTTAGCTACTGCTGCATAGCTGCACACTTGTGACTTAGTGTTTTGGTCATCTGGATATGATGGGTGTGATTACAGCTGTACGGCACAACACCCATACCATGGGCTGAAAGAACACAAGCCTATCACTATGCCTGTCTATAGGGGACTGTGAGTATGTGCTAGCTTGTGATCTCCTAACAATCAAGGACTGGAAGCTGATGTTCCAAAGCCCCTGCGCTTGTTGTTTTCACCAAAGCCACAGGGGTGAAGTCCCCAAATAGCTGCTGTCAACAGCTGATTCTTCAGTAACTAAGCATGGCTCTCCAGACCAGCTCTGGGTCGTTTAGCTGGGCGTGGAGGGTTGAGTCTCCTGCTAAATGAGAAACACGTCGCGGCGGTCTGAACCACACACCGGGTTTGAGCCTGGCGTGCTCACAGACAGCATCGCCTTGAAGACCTCCTGGGAAGTTCCCACTTACGAGTTCAGAAATCATAATTACGACGTGATGTGCATTCAAGTGATTTCAGTCAGAGAAAAACTAACACACTCATATTTCTTTCTCTTTTTTACTGTCTGAGAAACACAATGTTTTTAGTGCTAATGCAACAAAATGAAGTGCAAATATGCATAATATATGTAATTGATGGGTTAACTATGTATTTTATCATTCTTGTGCTGCCATGCACAATGATGTTGAGAAATGCCAAGCCAAGTCAGCCCATAAACTAGCTACATGAGCAGTATTTAGCATTATTCAGTACGCAAAATGCATACTACAGATGCCAATCAATTAAAATGTTAATCACATTAATTACATGATATGCTCATTAATTAATCAAATTAAATCATAGTATTTACTAAGAAAAGCCCACAAATGAAGATAATTAAAAGTTACTATTGTGGCGGATGAGCAAATCATTAAACAGACATTACAACAATAGTGTTTGTTGTATTTCCATAATAAATGTAAGCTTATCACTGATGTTTTAATTTTAAAGAAGATTCAGCTTTTTAAAAACGCCATTTGAGGCTTCAGTTTTTCCATGCACGACCAAAGATGTGGTCTGGTGTTTTTTCTATATTCAATCATTTTAATATAATTAATTACACAGTCAGTTATTATGCTAAGTTGATAGACCTACAATGTAATTATAGAACAAAGATTGACAATTACAACTTCAATCATGACTAATTTGCCCCTATCATAAGTCTTTAATTGACACAACCCCAAGACTCAACAAAGAAAATCTGAGCTCAATAAAACATAGTTTCCCACTGGAAATTACAACATTGTGGAGGCGTCAATGTATGTTTTGAAAATACAATCAGTCGGACACAACTTTACAGCAGGATTACTATACTGTAGTCACAAATCTAAAACTGTAAGAACCATCTTAGAGACTTTACATTCACTAAAACCAGACAAAAAACCCTTTAGGTCGTGATGTAATGGAAGTAGGGATGTAACGATTCACTCAACTCACGATTCGATTCACGATTCGATTCTCGTTTTTTTTTTTTTTTACAAAATTAGATTTAAGACAAATTATAAATTAAATGTGTCCTTTTGTTATTGCTTGGACAAAATGCTGCACATTTCTTTGTGAAATTGAAATATAACTATAATAATATACTAATATAGCACTTGCATAGTATTGCTCTTTTGTTGGTTTTGATTGCTTCTATTGTACTCATTTGTAAGTCGCTTTGTATTAAAACGTCTGCTAAATGACAACATTTAAATATAATGTAAATGTAAATAACAAAACTAAATTAAAATTTTATGAGCACACCTCGCTTTTCAGACCGATGAGCTTTGTAAAAATCGATGCGTTTCAGAAAGGCGGGGCATAGAGGAGATGCGATGCAACGCAATGCGTAAAAAGACAGTATAAGTCATTATAATTCGTAATTATGTCCCCACTGGATGCAACGAATGCCTCGTTTATAATGGGTTTTAATGTTTTTGTGTGGTCGCTCCGGCCGGACAGGGCATCACAATGTGGTAAGGGGCGTAACATTTCCGTCACACGCTTGAGGTATTCGGCCAATCACAACGCATTGGATAGCTGGCCAATCAGAGCACACCTCACTTTTCAGACTGATGAGCTTTGTAAAAATCGACGCGTTTCAGAAAGGCGGGGCATAGAGGAGAAACAATAATGTTCAGTATGTGGAAAATAATGTGTTTTTTGAACCTTAAACCGCATAAACACATTTCATTACAGCAAATACACAAAATAATGTTCTTTTTAGCAGCATCATATGACCCCTTTAAGCAGACTAAAATGGTTGGTGAAGACCGACAAATACAATATGTCACAAGAGAGAAGTCTGTCGTTTCACTGGAAGGATGAGTTGTGATATTTTGATTAACTTACGAGCTCCAAAAAATTAAACATTAAGAAAATAGACGGTGAATTTCCACTTCATGCCAACTTTAAAATATTTTCACACTCTGAAGCATGCGACAGATTAATGTGGTCAGAGATGTGTTATAACAATAACAGTTTTAGAAAGTGTGACTGCGCTTATTACATTATCTTAGGAATTCCATTCAACTCAGTATTTGTATTAAAACCTCGTACTGAGAGAAAACACCATCCTCTCACATGATCTAATATAGAATGTATGGTAGACGAAGAGGCGGCTAAAACAACCTCACAAAAAAGCTTATTACAAAAACTGAAGGGATAAAATGAGCCTACATTCAACACAGCGGTTCTTCATAAACAAACAGTGAAAAGTGTTGTTTTGCTGATATCAAGGTATGAAATCAAATCGCTGCTCGTCCTCTACTAGCTGATACATGGCCTTCCTGCTGTACTTTGCAGTGGCACCTGGTTGTTATCAAGGCAGGAGTCCTTCCTGAAGCAAGAGATGCTTGCTAATTTGCAACCAAACCAATTAATTATTCTGTCGGAAAAAGACAGCATTATTAACGCTCAAGTCGTTAAATGCTACTCTGCGACTAATACAAGAAACCGAAGACAGGAAAACAAATATGCTCATAATAAATCAGAAAAGCTATTAATACTTCAAATCTGGCAATAAAGTCAACATTGCATCAGAATTAAAGGATAGTATGATAACAGCGCTGCTTTACCACACATACTCACGACCGGAAGGAGCGGAAGTAGTTGACTGTGGCATAATAAAAGCCGTGTGTCATGCTCGTTCAGCGGCCTCGTTTCGCTTCGACGGCTTTCAGCCTCACCCTGCTTCATTCTACTACGTTAATAAATCATTA